ACTTTCCCATATTCACAGTACAAGCATGAGTGAGATAACTATTGGAAATTGTAATAAAGAATACATATATAGAGTGAGAGTGAGACTTGGACTCTAACGAATCTCATGATAAATTAAAAATAAATAAATAATATGTGAAAGGTTAAACTAATAAGAAATAATCAAATTTATTATTTACACTGCATCTTAGCACTAGAAATTTTGATACACAAACTTAAAAAAAAAATAGTAATAAAGAATAATATGTAAGTATCAAACTAATCCCGAAAAGTTAACATCATGTCTTAATGAGATAACTATTGCAAAAATCACTTTGAGCATTTAAGTTTACATAATTACTATGGAATTGAAACTAATAGCTTGATTTCAATTGGTAAGGTATATATATACACGTACAAGATGAGATTAATTGTCAATAAAATATTTTAATACTAACTAATTACCTAATTTATGATATTTATTATCAATCATCTATTTGTGAGATTTGCTGTCAATCATTTAGGTTATGAGATTTGTTGCCCCCTCAAGAAAGAGCTCATGTGGATAGTCCAATCTTGGTCTTTAAAAGTTGAAAGTGAATACGTAGAAGACGCTTGGTCAAAACATCTGCTAATTGATCTTCTGATAATACATAGGTAACACGTAAAGCTCCATTTTGGACTTGATCGCAAAGAAAATAATAATCAATCACAACATACATCATTCGTGAATGGAAGACAAGCTTGGTAGATAGATGAGTTACACCAACATTTTCATAATAGATAACTAGAATAGTAAGAATACAAATGTCAAACTCAATTAAAAGAGAACAAATCCAATGTAATTTAGCAGTTATAGCAACATCATAATGATATTCAGCTTTAGTGAACGATCATGTAATCGTTCATTATTTCTTAGATGACTAGGTTATGGGACTCATTTAGAAGATAACAAATCTAATATAATTCAGCAGATGTAGCAGCAGCACAACGATATTCAGCTTTAGTGAAGGATCATGCAACCATTCATTATTTCTTAGAGGACTAGGTTATGGAATTATGACTGAGTTAAATAATATAAGCACGGGTGGAGGTATAGTTGTCCTTATTACCAACCCAGTCAACATCTTAGAAGGCATGAAGAGATAGAGGTGTGTGATGGTATAATGCAAGATAATGACCATTTGTATTAGAAAGATAGTAGAACAAGCGTTTGACAATATTATAATTATCAGGAGTAGGTTGATATATAAATTAAGACAACTTATTAACAACATATGTAATATCAAAGTGAGTGAGACACACTGTTAACAATTGTTTGTATTCAGAAGGATATGTGAAAGTATTATAAGTGTTGGCTTGGTAGCAAGTGGAATGATGATATATTTAGCCTATATCATATTTATGCGAGTGAGAAGATCTGTGATATACTTTTGTCGAGGGAGAAGTAAACCTGTGGAAATAGTGGCAGCTCAACACCAAGAAAGTGGGTCAAATCACCAAGATCTTTGATGGAAAATCTTTTGTTAAGAATATCAATAAATTATTGAACTACAATGGTATTATTTTAGTAATAATTATGTCATCAACATATATAAGAAGATATAATAGATTATTGCTGGTGTTAAAAATAAAGAATATGTGTCTACATGAGAGTTTGTAAACTTAGAGGGTATAAAAAATTATCTTAGCTCATGGTACTAGGCTTGTGATGTTTGTTTAAGACCATATATAACACTGCATAACTTGCAGACATGTGTAGGATTATTAAGATAAAAACACTGGGTGGTTGTGCCGTGAAAATATTTTCAGAGAAATGACATTGTAGAAAGACATTATTCACATCAAGTTGACAAAAAGACCATCCACGACTAACAATAAAACTGAGTACCAAACAAATTGTGGTAGATTTGATAACCAGATTGAATATGTCCATGATAATCAACACCTAGACTCTAATGGAACCCTTTATCAACTAGTTGATTTTAGTATATGTCGATCGAGCCATCAAGTATATGTTTAACTCTAAAAATCCATTTGAAGCAGGTAAGATTTTACGTTGAATTAGATGGGATAAGTTCTCATATTCCATTATGTATAAGAACAAAATACTCTTCAGATATAGCTTGACGCTATTTAGAATTTTTGAGGGCTTGGGTTAACATATGCAGTTCAAATTGATGATTTAAGTTGATGATAGTAGTAAGATTAAGTTTTTAAATGGATTTATGAATTTATTTTAGCACAAGTTAAAATGGTGTGGGTGTTGATGGGTGATTTTATAGGAGAGGGGTATGGAGAGAGAGGTAAAGAATTATAGGGTGGATTGTGTGAGTTGTTTTACTCTTGATGGAATGTTATGGTTGATTTAATGGTGGCTCTTGATATATTAAAGTTTGGCTAAGAGGAAGTGGGGGTTTAAGTATGAGATGATGAGTTTCAGAGGGTGTGTTATGGATGGTGGATATAGAATGCTTAATCAGAGATTAGATATGAGATGGATTGAAGCCTGAGGTGAGTCTGTCGAGGTCGTGTTGAGTGGGGCAACCTTAGTAAGAAGAAATGAAATTGATGGAAATTGGGAGTGTTTCTAGACTTAGACGACTAAGATAACTTCGAATGGATTTGAATAAAAAGACTTCCATAAAGTTAACATGACAGGATGTGTATATTAGGATGGAGATAGGCACTTTGGGTGAGGGAGTACCCAATAAACACATAAGGGAGAGATCAAGACTCAGGTATGTGAGTAAAATAGCGACAAAGTCATGGATAACATAAACAACCAAGATATGGAGGTTTGTGTAACTTGGTGGAGAGTGAAAAAGGGA